TGGCGCCGACAATATACCTTCCGATGGCGGCGATGGAACCCAAGCTGAATGCGAAGGAACGACGGAAGCTCCGCCGCGCGGCAGCAGCACCGACAAGTGAGCCTGTTGACAAGAAGGACGAGATCTCTGCTGCACCGTCAAAGAAGGACGAGGATGTGAACCAACCGCCGATGAAGAAAGGCAACACAGAAGATCCTCAAGCGATGGCTCAACGATCCACGCCGACACCGGTACACGTTGTTCAATCTATCAAGGACGACGTGAAAGCAAAGGCGAAACCTGCCGAAGAAGACTTCATCCAGCTGCCGTCACTCAACAGCACTCCCACCGTGGAGCCGGAAAACACAACTGCTGCAAATGCAAAAGCACGACGACTCGCTGCGCGTGCAGCAAAGCGTGAGCGCCCCTCATCTGACGAACCTACTGAAGAAAAGCCGCAAGGAAGCGAAGCCAGCAACGCCAAGGCCCGTCGTTTGGAGAAGCGTGCTGCATCTCGCATGTCAACGGCGACAGATGCGACATCCTCGGCTACTACCGCCAAAAAAGTGCCCAAGCGAAAGCTCAAGGACCCGAACGCAAAGAGCATCCACTTGACGCTGTTCCTCGGCCAATTGCCGTTCGACGCGACGGAAGAGATGATTCGCAAGCATTTCCACGAAGCCGGCGACATCAAAATTCGCATGTTGACGGACAAAGCGACCAAGAAGTTCAAAGGCACAGCGTTTATCGAGGTCAAGGATAGCGCGGCACTGGGCGCGGCGCTGAGTCGACACCACAGTCTCCTGAACAACCGCCGCATCAATGTCGAGTTGACTGCGAACGGCGGCGGAACCAAATCCGAGCTGCGGCAGACGCGAATCAAGGACCTCCGCGACAAGCAAAAGGTCAAGCAAGTTGAAAAGGTACCCTCCTTGCATTCACCGTGGTGTGCGGAGCGTCGAACATTGAAAGCTGTCGTCATCGTTAGGTCCAAGCTCTGCTGCAAAAGCACGTCGACGACCCGGAGTGCAAGCTGACCCAGGAAGATGTGGACGAGCGCATGACAGACTTCCTCTCGTGGTTCGACTACGAGACGGCCAAGCTCGCCCTGGAAGAATTCAACCGTTGCGTTGGGGAGAGAGTCATGTAAGGTGAAGTCGTTGGAATGATCGACTCACGTGACGTGGTAGCAATCGACGGGCGTTTTTCATGGGGATCCTCAAGCGATTCCGCACGACGGATGGCGTCGAAGACGAACGACCCCTCAAACGCTCGGAATTGAAAGGCGGACGTGGTGGCCAGGGAAGCGGAGGACGTGGCTTTGGTGGCGGTGGCCGTGGTGGCGCAGGACGCGGCCGAGGGGGTCGCGGAGCTGGCGGTCGTGGCTTTGGTGGCCGAGGGGATCGCGATGGATCTCGGCCCCCGTTCAAGCGCGCACGACGAGAGTAATTGCCCTCGCCCAACCCCTTGCGGCAGCGTCGCCATATTCAAACATAATCAGAGTCGCCGTTTTCAAGAGTCATGCCTTTGGTGTGGGTTGCCATAAAGTTGGGCACGTCCATGTGCGACCTGGAGGCTCAGCTCCCATGGTAACTCTTTTGTGATGTCGTTGCTGCATCACACAGCAGCGCAGTCGGGTCCAGTTCGCGTAGTCGCTTGGATTCGTCCCAAGTCCATGCTTTTCTTTCGAACTGAGCTCGCGTCTTCCATGGCACGTGAAAACTAGATGACATGGATGAATGTGGCCACCGCACAACAGCATAGTGCAGAAAATGCGGCTGACTGTGCCTTGGATCACTTTATCGTGGCCGCGCGATCCATCCATGCATGTTGTACACGGTCTCGACTGGCGTGAACTGCGCCATCGATCGCTCGAATCGCATGGAAATCCATGGTGCACATTGGCTATTGCTTGAGACAACACAGCTTGTAACGATGGTGCATTAATCGTGAAATTGAGGAGATTTCTTCGAAGCCATGGCCGTGAATGCTTCGACGAGGTCCTCACTCTGCAGCATGGCAGCGTTCCAAAGTTCGACTTGGCGCAGCGAATCTTCCGTCGTGTGATCGCGGCGGTACTGGATTGTCTTCTTGATCCCACGAATGGTGACCGGACTCTTGGATGCGATGGTCGCTGCAAGGGCTGCTGCGTCTGAAAAGAGAGCCGAAGAGTCCACGTGAGACTTGAGAACAAAGCTGTGTTGAATCCATGTGCACGTGAGGGGTAAAGAATGACGGAAGAGAAAGCCGTACCCCATACGTTCGGCTTCCGTGCCAAAGAAAGATCGACCTGTGTACGACAACTCCTTGGCGCGCTGCTCCCCCACCAGAAGTGGAAGGCGTTGCAACGTCCCGACATCTGCCACGATGGCCAAGTCGATCTCCTTCACGGAAAAGTCCGCGCTCGAATCACAAAGACGCAAGTCGCACGCCGTGATGAAGTCCACCGCTCCTACAAGCAAGCAATTAAGGCAAAAAGCTTCCGATGCGCTAAAGTCCCATACCTCCCCAGCAGATTCCATGCACAGCAGCAATCACAGGGACACGGCAGCGTTCGGGGGCGGACACGATGTGTTGGAAGCGGCGAATCAATTGCATGAGATGCCCTCGCTTCTTGGCATCGCAAGGAATGGCGCTAATGACTTCTTGCATTGCAGCAAAAACTTGCAAGTCCATGCCGGACGAGAATCCCCGACCTTCACCACGGATAACCACCGCGCGAACGGTCGGTGTCGCTTCGACCTGCTGGAAGAACGCATCCAGGTCGTTCCACATTTGCATGTTGAATGCGTTGAGTTTCTTCGGGCGATGCAACCGCAGGTTTACAATCGATGGGTCACTGTCGGCAAGGCCATCTGCAAGGGAAGGAGTGACTGTCA